CTCTCTCTCTCTCTCTCTCTCTCTCTCTCTCTCTCTCTCTCTCTCTCTCTCTCTCTCTCTCTCTCTCTCTCTCTCTCTCCCTCTCTCTCTCATGCATGCCACGCTTTCGCGTTTCCAAACTTTCCCCCATCCAGATTCCTTCATCACCCCCCTCCTGCGATCTTGACGTTTGCCACTACCCCTATGGGCCTATTCTGCCTGCCTATGAACCTATTCTGCCTACCTATGGACCTATTCTGCCTAACTCTATTGCGATGGTTTTCCGATCTCTCTCGATTCTCATCTCCCTGCACCGATTGCGATGCTTCATCAACGCCTCTCTTCTTCCCTCCCCATCTTTTCACGATTTCAAACATCTAACCAGCCCAAATTCTCAACCTTTCCACCTCCTCCTACACTTATCCAACTTCTTGACGTCACCCCCAGCCCGCCCCCCGATGGTCATCATCTTGATTCAATCTCGCCTGGCCCTCCCCTTCCTCGTCCCATCTTATCTTCAAGTCATCGACAGTTCTCCATTCCCTTCCTTTCACGTGCGCTCCTGGAGGCAGAAGGATACTGGCAACAAATGCTTCCACATCGAACTGCACACATCCAGAGGATGACGCTGAGGAGGAAGCGGAGAGAAGAACGACGTCGTGAAGGACGATAGAACGGAGGAGGAAGACATGGACAAGAAAGAGGGAAAGGAATCAATCCATAGAGGAGAGGGGAACACTTAAGAGAAAGATAGGCAAAGAGGGAGGCGGAGGAGGAGAAAGGATCAGACTCGCGTGGAGCTGTTCACCACTCCGGCGACGAAAAGTAGAAGATTCGACTCTTTGCGGCTTCAACATCGAATCTAGAGCAGCACGCTGCTCATGTTTTCCTGCCCCCCCTCCCACCCCCCTCTCTCTATCCCTCTGTGTCTGTGTGGCAAGCATCATGCCACCCCCCTGACACACCCACCCTAACACAACAGCGCACACACACACACATGTACACACATGCACTCGTACACACGCACACATGCACATGCATGCACACGCAGACGCACGCACCCGCGTGAGCACACGCACACACACATGCAGTAAGGAGGGCGTCGGTAGGCCTAATCGTACGGCGGAGGTACGACCTACCGGCATCACCGACCCACTGGCACTGATAGGCTAGGCGTATTTTACGTCCATCAGGGCCGTTGGCCTAGTAGTGCCGAGCCGACGGCCTGGATTGCCGTGCGGTAGGACCCAATGCCTCTATGGCGCGTCAATCTGGGCCGACCCGACGGCCTGGATTCGCATGCGATCCAGGCCATTGGGCGAATAGGACCCGATGGCTCGGATTCAAGATTTATTACATGGTTGATTCCCTTAGCGATTTTAATAGTGTAGGGAAGGAGAAGCGGGAAGGAGGGGCAGAAGGTGGGTGGGTTGAGAAAAAAAGAGGAATCAATAACCTGTCAGTGAAATGGGGGTTCCGAGCTCGCCCTTTGTGAAGGTCACCATTGTGCAATATCCATCTTGGGAAGATACAGCAATCATGGAGCCATCAGCTGCCCTGCATTTGCACACACATCTGACGGTCAGCAAGACATGTCATTCTGCATTTTTCTGCACTCAAAACCAGCCATGCAACAGTATTTGGATCATAGCTTTTGGCCGAGTCAAAGTTCTGGGGTCAAAAGTCATGCTGTAGGAGTTTTGGCCCGCATCCAGGAGTCGAGAGGTCAGTGGCTTCAGGGCATTGCATGTAGGCTAAGTCATTCCAGGCCCGAGGTAAGGCCCTAACAGTTCAGCCAGACCAAGAGTCAAAGATTTTTCCAGATTACTAACTGACAAAGAGAACTACGCCAGACAAACTGGTGGGAAGCATTACTTCGTCTTTGTGATTCCTGATGCAAGTGTGTGAACACTGTAAACCAGAATGCTCTGCCTTAGTATCTACATTACTTGCTGAAGTTGGTGTCAAAAAATTACAACACAATACGACCACATTGGTCAGCCCTTTGGCCCTCTTCTTCATCCAAAGCTCCCGTCACACCTTCACTATCCTCTCCATCTGTTCGCATCGCCTGAATGTACCGTGTCAACTTAGTGATAGATGCCCCGACCAACCTTGTTGTCACGAAATACACATCCACACTCCACAGCTACCTCGCTTTCCTCAGATATAAAGGACAGATCTCAGTAGAGTCCAGTGCAACAGGTCATCGCCAGGCAGAGGCAGAGTCACAGAATGCAGCTCGGGCAGTGAAGAAGCCACCCGGTCAAAACGCTCAAGAGAGAGACAGCTTTCACGACTTTACTGTCCTCTTTCTGATGTTCTCCTATTTGACCCTCGTACCCTCAGACAACTCGAGAAATAAGAGAGACTTGAGCATATTTCTTCTACCATCATCAGAACACAAATTGGCAAGCAGTGGATGGCAGGTTTTCTCATCCATGTTGTGTCCTTTGGGACATCCGTTAGAACTGGAGTAATACAGAGAAGATTAGCATGGCCGCTGCGCAAGGATGACACACATAAATCGAGAAGTCCAAAAAAAAAATAGGAAAAACAGAAAAAAGGCTTCGTCATTCATGATAATGGCCGCCATGAAGGCATTGCCTTTAGGATCCGAAGAGTGACGTAATGTTAAGATGCCTGTTAACTTGTGGACAGCTCACACAGTTGACCCCAATCTCAGATTTTCGCCTCCTTCGTGCATTCGCCATCGTAATTTTTGGACAGCTTGAGTGCTTAGCTTCCCATGACAGAGGTTCTGCCCTGGAATGGCCAGACCATACCAAGTATGGATTAAGTGAGTGACAAACTTTCAAGATGAAGTTTGACAAAAAGAATAAAACTCAACAGATGCACAAATTTTTAGTTTGCCTTGCTGTTCTTCATGATTTTCACCATCTCAGGATCTTCAGGGTTTCCCACCCCTCCTCCCTTGCAGAACCAGGAGGCCCTGAATCAAGGAAAATCATCTCCTTTATGCCGCTCCAGGATTTTCATCTGCTGTGGGGAGAGGCAAGGAGGAACAACGGAAGGGAGAGAGAGGCATGCTGTGCGTGAAGAAGAATGGAGGCTCGTGTGACGCAAACCACTCACCATAACATCCCTTTTTTTTCTGTTCCTCTATCGAGATAACATAATTGTTTCCTCTGTGTGTGTTTTAAACAATGTGTGTGTGTGTGTGTGTGTGTGTGTGTGTGTGTGTGTGTGTGTGTGTGTGTGTGTGTGTGTGTGTGTG